TTATTTTCCCTTACTTGCCTAATTACCCTGCTAGAGCCTCCAGTACAATACTGAAAAGAAGCGGTAAAGATATTTTAATGCAGAAATTTTCAGCCTTTCTTTTCACCTTTAAGTAATGTTAGTTGTTGGTTTTTCATACATGCCCTTTTCAGGTTGTGGAAATGCCCTTTTATTCCTAGTGTGTTGAGTGATTGTATCATGAAAGGGTGTTGGATTTTGTCAAGTGATTTTTCCATATGATTGTGTTTTTTTTCCTATATTCTATTAATATGTCATATTGCATTGATTTATGATTAAACTAACCTAACATTCCTGGGCAAATCTCACTTAAGCATGGTGTATAATCCTTTGTATATGTTGCTGGATTCACTTACTTAGTATTTTGCTGAGGATTTTTGCATCTATGTTTATAAGTGATATTTGTCTATAGTTTTCTTTTATGATGTTTTGTCTGGTTTTGGTTTTCATGGTAATACTGGTCTCATGGGATGAGGTAGAAAGTGTTTCTATTTTCTTAGAAGAGGTTATAAAGAATTGGTATTAATTCTTTAAATATTTGGTAAAATTCACCAGTGAAGCCATATGGTCTTAGGGTTTTCTTTGTGCAAAGTTTTTTGAATATGAATTCAATCTCTTTATTTCTGATAGTTCTATTCAAATATCTGTTTCCTCTTGAGTTAGTTTCAGGAGTTTGTGTGTTTCTAGGTGTTGTGAACACCTGTATAAACAGAGTAGACCCTTACCCAAAGTTTGGTTCAGACCGGTGACACCACAAACACCCCAAGAGTATATGAAAAGGTTTATTACTCACATAATGAGGCTTTCTGTGGAGAGCAGGGCAGACCTCCCAACCTGGTCTGAAAATGGCTTAAGAGAGCAGGGAAAGGAAACTGACTTGCAGTTTTTATGATGGTTAACAAATGATGCTGGGATGAGGGTTCCCACCTGGGGGAGAGGGGCCCTTGTATAGTTCAATCATCTCATCAGTGGTAAATGAAAGAACCTGGGCTTTCTTCTCAGCTTGCTCAGATGTGGGACAGAGGGGAAGAGAGAGGAGTAAGGCTTAAAAGACTAGGAATTTGTCCATTTTATCAAAGTTTCTAATTTGTTGGCATACAATTGTTTATGGTATTCTTATAGTCCTTTTTATTTTTGTAAGTTTCATAGTACTTTTCCCTTTTTTTTTTTTTGCGGTACGCGGGCCTCTCAATGTTGTGGCCTCTCCCGTTGCAGAACACAGGCTCCGGATGCGCAGGCTCAGCGGCCATGGCTCACGGGCCCAGCCACCCCGCGGCATGCGGGATCTTCCCGGATCGGGGAACGAACCCGCGTCCCCTACATCGGCAGGTGGACTCTCAACCACTGCGCCACCAGGGAAGCCCCATCCTTTTAAGCTTTTTGTTTAGGCTATTGCTTGCCCCAACTGCTATCTACTGCCTCATGCAGCCACAAAAATAATCAGTTGCCTCTGCTTTCAACGGGGCTTTTCACACTTGGCAGTTTCCAATTAGGTCAAGTAAAGATACCTTTGCAAGGGGGGCCTTCAGGGCCTGACAGGTCAAATAATTACAGTTCTCTGGGTATTTGGCTTTGAAACAACTCCAGTCTCATTCTACCTCTTCCAGTGGCTGCCAGATTGCTGGTATTCACTATAGTTGCCAGCTGTCGGTTTTCAAGTCTTCTATGGAGCTGGAGAGGGAGATGAGAATAGGGCAAGTTACAATATCACAGTGCTCACTGTTGTTACAGAGATTCAGCTTTTCTCTTCAATAAATGTTCCTCAGACTGCGGCAAGCCTTAGGTTAATTTCCAGAGTTCTAAACATTTTTGCCAGTTTCTCATTGCTTTTATGGAGGAAAAAATTTTCAAAACTCCTCACTCCAACATTTTTGCTGATGTCTTGTTACATACTTTTTTTGAAACCTAGAATGCATTTGTTTCCAATCCCACTACCTTTTCAAACCCTGTCCAGCCATTACCTCCTAGGTGTGAGTGTGGCTTTTCTGAGGACACTGTCTCCTTGGTACTTGCTGCCTTCTTTCCACTCCAAGTCCAAGGAGGCCACGACAGAAAGAGAGGTGGCAAAGAGGCTTTGAATGCTTCGGAGCTGGGGCTCCTGATGACGCCATCTACAAATTCAGGGTGGCCTTCATCATTAGATGAAATAAGCAAGAGTTGGATCTATTTTTAGACTGCTGCATTCTATCCTTAAAAGAACAAACTGATAAGTTGAAAATCTCACAATTTTCCATAGTGTTTAAGCGCACAGCTACTGCAGTTAAGACTTATGAGTTCACTGCCTCCTAGCAGTGATGATAATGGTATTCATATTGTTGAGTCACTATGAAAATTAAGTGGAAAACAAAATCCTTGACAGTGTCTGGCATAAGCACTCCATATATAGTCTCTGGCACTTTCATTATCACTGGCAGAGTACCAATACCTAGTATAAATCCTGTATTGTACATCTGAGTAGAAAGGGACCTCAGAAATCCACTCATTCAATTGCATATCCGGGACAATACCTCACAATGCTGCAAATCCCTATCAAATGATATCTAGCATACGTTTTAATATTTCCAAGGACAGGCAGTTGACCATCTCAAAGGCAACTCATTGCATTGCCGCAACACTCTCGTCGTTAGAAAGCTCTTTCTTCTACTGAGCCCCAAATCTTTCTCCCCCTTTTCCCTTGAACACCTCAAAATAAAGCTATTATCTTTTCAGTGTGACAATTCTTCCAGTGTGTGAAGGCTTCTCAGAAGCATTCTAACTCTTCTTTCTAGCTCTGGGGAAGAGGTTGGTACTTTCCACTGCTCACCAGATCTTCCCTGCCTCTAATTGCCATGGCCTGAGGTGTCCTCCTGAAATCAAGTGGGACCTGGAAGGTCTGAGTGGAGAAAATAAATTTCCTTTCAGATCACAAGAGATCGCATGATCTGTTTTCTACCTCCCTTCCCATGACAAGTGAATCCCTGCCCCAGCCCTGCCCTGTGAACATTACCAATGAAATACACACACACACACACACACACACACACACACACACACAGAGAAGAGGTTCAATTTATTGATTGCTCTTTGGGAAAGGTTATATAGAACATTATTGGGGTGGAATTAAATTCTAGTTACAGATTCATAAAACGTTGCTTTCAACCCAATTAGCTTTTATGAGACTATCAAATCCCCTCTCATCCTCAGAGACAGCAGAGGACCCCAATCATAGTCTTCATAAATTTGTTGTTTTAAATGATTAAAGCAGACATAATACATAATGCAGTTGATATCAAATATATTGAGAATGACAAATCAGTAGAACTACTTTCACTCTTCAGCATTAACTGGTCATTTATAAATGTTCTGTACATACATTTTTTATTTCAGATTTTCTCCTTAAAGGAACTTGTGAACTGTTCATTATTATCTGCTATTTGTTTGTATACACACATTTTAATTCTTCCAAAATAACATTTAAGATCCCTCAGAAATGTTAACCTTTAAGGAACATTCAATTAAAAAAATAAAAGCTCAGGTCTTGACTCTGTAACACACGTTCAGATGTGTCAAGATTTTGTTTCCCTCTGATAAAAGCCTCCAACAATATACAATGCGCCAGCCTCTTCTTTTGCTCAACTCAGAGGAAGTCATATAAAGGAGAAAAAAAACATGCTTGAAATCACAGTGACCAAAGGATTTGAGTTAATAATTACATTAAATAACCATAACTTTTTGATTAACTATTCACATTCCACACAGTGGAAATTATCCTTTCCTCCAGATTTTTCACTTACATTTTTAACTTTGCAGAACTACAATAACAAAAAACAACTTACAGACTTGCAGGATGTGTTTTTCTCTTTTAATGCCAAGCACAAAGTGTACATCATAAAATTCATATTTGGTGTTTGGCATTATTTTAATAGGAAAGATCTAGATCACAAATATCTTGCCATAAAACATTCTACTATAGTAATGAAAAAAACATATCATTACATCATCGGTGACTCCAATACAATATGTGACAGATACGGCACTTTCAATAAATGTTGGAAGACACGCGGGACTTGGGCTAGTCTTAATGTAGACACAATAAGAAAAGCAGACATTTCCCTCTTTGGCTAGTGCTGTGCTTTTAGGGCAGTTATGCTGCTGATTACCCCAGTAAAGCTCATTTTGAGGAAATTCTCTTTACTTAAGCCAAATCCAACTTACATGCAAGACTGTGGTACAGGGCTTCCCTGGTGGCGCAGTGGCTGAGAGTCCGCCTGCCGATGCAGGGGACACAGGCTCGTGCCCCAGTCCGGGAAGATCCCACATGCCGCGGAGCGGCTGGGCCCGTGAGCCATGGCCGCTGAGCCTGCGCGTCCGGAGTCTGTGCTCCACACGGGAGAGGCCACAACAGTGAGAGGCCCGCGTACCGCAAAAAAAAAAAAAAAAAAAAAAAAAGTAAAAAAAGACTGTGGTACAAGCTACTAAAAGAAGATTCCTGCTACCAACTGAAGTCATCTCTTTTTAAAAAAACTGCATGCTCGTGGCAGAGTCAGAACAAGAGAGATTCGGTGTCTGCTGGTTCTGAGCGTCATTCTTCCTCTCTAGTGTGGTTTTATATTTTCAGCTCCTTCCCCTTTCTTTTCCTCTCCCCCACCCTCAAAATTCTAGCTTAGCATTTGCATGCTTAATTAAATCCATTCTGCGTTTTATTGTTGGGAGGACGTGGACGATACAAGGATTTAGGGCAGGGGCATACGGTGTATGTGACATGCACAGACGATGTGTTTGCACAAATTCGCCTAGTGTAGAATCATCAGTAGTGAATTTCAAAGTTTTAAAATTAGACCCAATATTTCGGGTGTTCAAGATGACTTCTGCCTCAAAGTATGGTTCCTATTTATTTGTTAGTAGGGAAAGCACTGGACCAAAACAGAAATGAAATAAAATAAAAACAGCCTCTTTAGTTGCATTGGTCCTTTGAATGCTGGAGCCTTCATGGGCAACTGAAACACAAGTCTATGGTGTTTGTTTCCCATGTTACACATGACTTGGCTGGTGAGACTGAGAGGATGCAAGGCAAGAATCGTATCGGGGGTGGGGGGGTTTACATATAAAACCTCAGGCTTGAAGAGAGCAAGTTGTCCAAATCCAAAATGCAGGAAGGTTCACCCACCCTGTGCTTTGGCCATCAGATAAATACTAAATACGCATTGCAAATAACCTAAGTTTAATCAGGGAACAGTAGTTTCCAAATGGTTACAATGTTACATAAATCCTACCAGCTGCAGGACAGCTAATGCACACAAATACTCTCATTTCTTAACTGGGGGTTCCCATTAGACCCTTCAAGGGCAAAGGAAGAAGGGCTGGTGTATCCCTTACATGTCCTCCCTGACTTTTGACTACTCCTTAGCCAGAGGCAATCTCCTTCCTTTCCTTACTCTCCTCTGCTCTCCAGCTCAATCTCTTATAGATGGCTAAAACAAAAAGACCCCAAATATACTTCTTTCTAAAAAGGAGCAGGCCTAAACGCTCTTATCTTAGCCTGGTCCTTCACTGTCAGGTACATTCGGCAGAGGCAGAATCTTTACAATACAGGGTTGTGGCTCTCAGAAACATGACACAGGAATAAGGAACTGGGAAAGAGGTGATTATACCCCAGCCTAAAGGAAAGATAATAAGACCTTCTGCTTATAAGGTTTTTGTCTTTTTCCTATTCCTGTGGGGGGGGGGGGGTTTCTGAACTACATCTTTTGTCCATCTGAGGGGCCAAGCAGGAGGGGATGTTTTGGTTTCGCTCACTCACTTGGTTCTGAAAATAGGAGGGGTCAATATTTATGTTTTAAGTTTGGTATTGGGTTACAGCTAATTTCCACAGTCACAGTGACTCACAAAGTTAATGATCTTGGGGGGGCAATTTCATTTCTCCTCTGTTTCCTTGGGTTCTTTAAATACCAGGAAAAAACTTGCTAAAGCATGGGTCTCACCATGTTTGGAGGTTGGCCTTTCCAGGCTCTGCACACCTCCCTCCTGAATTTTGCTGGGCCAACTGGTCCTCACCTGCGATCTCTCCCTTCTCTCAATCCTCTAACCTTCCTGCCCTACCAGCCTCCCCCAGAGTCTGAAAGGTCTTCCCCAAATAGGAAACATTTGCATCTGTGGTCAAGTGAGTTACTTTAGAGCCTCTGGCAGGTAGGGGATTAGACGGAAATAGTCACTGAGATCCTAAGAAGGGATGGACTGTGACAGGGAAGAGGAAGGGGGAAAGCAAGCACAGGTTGAAATATCCTAAGGCCAAGGCAGCACTAAAACAGGTCTCTTGCCCTCAGAGTAGCCTCTTCCACTAACATTCATTCTGAAGGGAGGTTCTGGTCCCCAGGAGGGCACATGGAAGACCAAGGCAGAACCCTGCCCCTCCAAATGTGCCTCAGGTGGTGTGGGCTTTCTGTACCATCCCGCATGGAAGCAGATACGTTTACATAATAGGAAGTACCCTCTAGCAGAGACTGTGTTTCCTCTGGTGTCTGCAAACACCCACAGGGACCCATGCACACTCATGCACACAAACTACGCACTAGCAGGCTCCTGGCAGAAGGCAGCTGGTGGTTCTTCTTGCCTCTAGATTTAAGCCAAGTAAGAATCAGGTTGATTTAGGTCTGGTTCTGGGCCCGCCTGGGGGCTTGCACCCCAAGGACAGGCTGGGTAGGCCCGGCTTAATCCAAATCGATGGATATGCAACGACACTGCTTGACACGAGTGACCCTCTTCTTCTTGGTGGGCGGCTGTAGTTCGGGGCAGTTGAGCGTGACCATCATGGTGGTGAACTTCTTGGGCTTGCAGAAGGAACAAGACTGAAAAGAGCCTTCCTCCTTCCGGATGTGCCTGGGGATATAGAAGGAGTTGCACTGGCCGTAGCAGAAACGGTTGATGATGGTGCGGCTGTTGCAGCCCTCCTCGTGGATGGTCTGCTTCAGCGGCTGGGTTTTGCACCAGTCTCGCTTCAGGTATTTGCGCTCGGTCACATGCAGGGCCTCCTGGCTGGACTCCAGCACTTCCTCCCCGGGCACGGTAGTGCCCCGCCCCTGGCCCCGCCCCCGGTTCCTGGAGCCAGGCTGCTGGGGAGACTGAGTCTGCTCCGAGTCATTGTGCTGGGCCTTGTCTGGCGGGGGGATGGCCCCTTGGGACCCCTTCTTTTTCCCTTCAGCAGCCGGCAGCAGGGTCCCCAAGAGGAGAAGCAGGGCTCCCACAGTGTAGGCCGTACGGCTCATGCTAAAGGGGGCAGACACAGAGAGGAGAGACATGAAAAATGGAAAAGATAATTAATGAAAACATTCATAAAACAGCTAATGTTTTATCAGGCACTTGCTAAACACTCGACGTAAACGATTTCATTGCCTCTCACGGTATCTCCGTGCATTAGGTACTGTTATTCTCGTGACCCTCTGGGCCATTAAGCCATGAAGTAGCTTGCCCGGGGTCAGCCAGCGAATAAGCCAAGATGTGAGCTCTGTCACTTGTCCTCCCAGGGGAATTGCTTCCTGACACCAACTACGTTTGACTTTGTATTATGGTCCCTTAACTGTATTCATTCTTTTTTTCTTTTAATTGAAGTATAGTTGATTTATCATGTGTTAATTTCAGGTGTACAGCACAGTGATACAGTTATACATATATATATATTTATTCTTTTTCAGATTCTTTTCCATTATAGGTTATTACAAGATACTGAATACAGTTAGGGTCCTTGTTGTTTATTTTATATATAGTTATTCATTCTTGCACTTGACAATATTTGGTTAAGTTCCTGCTACGTAAATAGATGAATTAGCCTCGCCGGCCAGAGGGCTCATCTGACAGGAAAGGGTCTCACTATTTCTCCCTGACTGGCCTGAGCCCTTCCTGAGTTCGCTTCATTGGATGCTTATGAGATGTTCAGTGTTATCAGGCATCGGAAGGAGATGTGTGGAGGCCAGAAAGAGGAAGAATCCTTCACAGGAAGAGCACTAGACGAAAAGTCAAGACTCAGCTTCTAGTCGAAGTCCTAGGATAACAGCTTGCTTTCTGACCTAGAGAAAATTTCACTTTACCTTTTAATAAATGACTTTATTTAAGCAAAGATACAAACACCTCATATCCCCAGATATGTTGTTCAGATCAAAATTGATGTAAAACTGAAAGCAATTAGAAAACTAACTAAATATGGTGGTACTGCAGACAGAACAAATTACTTTACCAGAAAGATCACGTAATTCATAAGATTCCTGGATCACTCATTCTCATTTTTAAACTGGGCACAGATATTCATTATATCATTCTTAATACCACGATACACATTGCTCTACTTTTATTTATTTATTTTAATTTATTTATTTATTTATTTTTGGCTGTGTTGGATCTTTGTTTCTGTGCGAGGGCTTTCTCCAGTTGCGGCAAGCGGGGGCCACTCTTCATCGCAGTGCGCGGGCCTCTCACTATCACGGCCTCTCCCGTTGCGGAGCACAGGCTCCAGACGCGCAGGCTCAGCGGCCATGGCTCACGGGCCCAGCCGCTCCGCGGCATGTGGGAACTTCCCGGACCAGAGCACGAACCCGTGTCCCCTGCATCGGCAGGCGGACTCTCAACCACTGCGCCACCAGGGAAGCCCATCTACTTTTAAAATAATGAAGTACGTCCTTCACATATGTGTGTGTGTGTATATAGAATTTAGAAGGTAGAAAATGGACACAAGAGAACAGGTATGTGCAAATATTTACATTAGTAAGTGCCACAGACATGTTGAATAAGTTAATGATAATGAATTATTGTGGATGGGTCTGGAGTTAGATATGGGTCAGTAGGAGCAATGGCATATGAACAATGGCAAAAAAAAATGAAATAAGGGGAGTGGAGGCAAAGGGAAAACTGACAAAAAACCCGGAAAGTTGGGGCTTCCCTGGTGGCGCAGTGGTTGAGAGTCTACCTGCCGATGCAGGGGACATGGGTTCGTGCCCCGGTCTGGGAGGATCCCACATGCCGCGGAGCGGCTGGGCCCGTGAACCATGGCCGCTGAGCCTGCGCGTCTGGAGCCTGTGCTCCACAACGGGAGAGGCCACAACAGTGAGAGGCCCGCGTACAGCAAAAAAAAAAATAAAAAATAAAAAATAAAAAAGAGGGTGCAAGAGAGAAGCATCAGAGTCTTAGGGATTTTCTTCTCAATGAGTACAGTTTCAAATTCCCAGCCTCCCTCCTCAGGCCATCACACCAAGTCTGACCTGAATCCAGAGGTTTCCCCTGTCTTCCACGTCCACCACAGTTCTGAACCCGAGGACACAGCTGTGAAGCACCCACGTCCCTGATCTCTTCTGTCCACCAGTGTGACACAGGATAACCACTAAATGCAATTTAACAGTAACCTCACCGTGGCCCCCAAGGAGCTATCCAAGCTGGTATTAGTAGCTGGAGCAGTTACTTTTCAAAGACAAAGGCAGGGTGGAACCTGCATTCTCTAAAGGGCAGCCCCTGTAAGTAAATGCCATGCAACCCTAAGGATAATGTCCAATTAAGATAATTAAATATTAAATTCAAACTATTCTTAAATGGCACCATCTTTTAGACATTAACCTAGTACTTTTGGGCAAGTTCAAGTTTGGAGCTGATAATGTGACATTTAGCTCCTGCTCTGACTCCCTGGCTTTTGTCAGTTTATGTTACAGCATCTTTGTTCTTTAAACAGAGCATTTTTTGCTTCAACAACAGCAACAAATTAATTTCCTTGTTTTGTCTTTAAGACATCGCTCGTGAGGAAAGCCCAGTTATAAAACAGTGCTGATTTTCTCCAGAGAGTAGGACAACTTGAGCCATGACAGTCCAGTCTCCTGGGCAAATATATTGTGAATTCAAGAAGCTTTCACAAGTTTGTTTTTATTCAATTCCAGGCCAGGATCTAAATTAAAATTCAGTCTCTGCCCATTTCCAAGAGGAACACATAAGACAGCCCTAGGCCACCACCCACCATCTTCCCCATCCCTCCTAAAAATGGCCTCCAGAACAACCCAAGATTTCAGAGCCAACATCACAGAGGCCAATCTGAGACTTGACTGGGAAGGTATATTGACTGCATGGGAGAGATTCAAGTCATGGGGCCAGCCATACCCACAAACATCTATCCAAAAAAATGCAATTTTCTTTCTCTACACCACTTAAGGACCTCCTTTATACTCAGCTTTCCCTATCTGGCATTTCCCATCTGTCATTAAATAAATATCAAGTCTGAGAGTCATGAGGGCTTTTTCATCACCTCTTCCTCCATGCCTGGCAGAGTAGATGCTCTTTTGTTCAATGAATGATTGTCATGAACCACACTGACCGACAGAGTTTCTGTTCTTTGCATTTAAAATGTCTTCACACATGCTGAAGATCAGCAGAGTCTAGCCTACAGGGAGCTTCTTAATGCTACTCTTCCTTTTTCCAAGAAAACTCCAAATACCTACTTCTTTTTACGTGGTCCCATGGAGAACACTATAGGGTTTATATTTCCAATTAAAGCCATTGTATTCTCTCACTTCGTCCCAGCTTACACTTCCCCCTCCCCGTGTCCTCAGGTCCATTCTCTACGTCTGCATCTTTTTTCCAGTCCTGTCCCTAGGTTCTTCAGAACCATTTTTTTTTTAGAGAGAGAGACAGTGGCATGGACATATATACACTACCAAATGTAAAACAGATAGCTAGTGGGAAGCAGCCACATCGCACAGGGAGATCAGCTCGGTGCTTTGTGACCACCTAGGGAGGGTGGGAGGGAGACGCAAGAGGGAGGGGATATGGGGATATATGTATATGTATAGTGGTCACTTTGTTATACAGCAGAAACTAACACACCATTGTAAAGCAATTATACTCCAATAAAGATGTTAAAAAAAAAAGCCATTGTATTCACTCTGGAAGAAACCAACAATAAAGCAGTAAATTCAAAATTAGTCAACTGTGGTTTTCTGTTTTAATTTGGACTGACTTCCTGTTCCTATGGGAGTGTGCAAATCCCATGAGAAAAAGGGGTCTAGAGTGACAGACTGTTTTTTTTAGAGTGACAGACTTTTTAAGAAAAGTAAATTTTTCTCAAAATTTATTAGGTGTGAAAAATATTATGAAATGGCTTTTCATTTTCAAAAAGCTTACTCTTTAAATATCTTCAGCTTTTGAGTTCTTAAAGCTTATAACTAGTTATTTGGCGAGAGGAAAAAAACAACCTTAGGGGGCTTCCCTGGTGGCGCAGTGGTTGGGAGCCCGTCTGCCGATGCAGGGGACACGGGTTCGTGCCCCGGTCCGGGAGGATCCCACATGCCGCGGAGCGGCTAGGCCCGTGAGCCATGGCCGCTGAGCCTTTGCGTCCGGAGCCTGTGCTCCACAACGGGAGAGGCCACGACAGTGAGAGGCCCGCGTACCGCAAAAAAACAAAAACAAAAACCTTAGGAATCTCAATCAACAGAGACCTCAGCTTCTTAGAGAACAGCAGTGCTCTGAAGGACTCTGCATATCCCACACAAGTAAGAGGGAGGGGGATGAGAACTAGAACCGGTTCTAGAACCAGGGCTCTGTCAAGTCACTGTGGTCAGTCACCCAACCTCCTCCACACCAAAATGATCTTGATTACTCATTGAAGGAAATAGGGCTGTTGTGTTCTTGAAATCCCAATTGTCTTGCCACCAAATAATTTTCACTCTGTAAATATCACAGACATGGAGGAAACCAAGAAAATGTAAGTTCCTTAGGTATAATTCTTTTTCCCATCAACACCTAGCAAAGTGCCTCGTTATCAAAAATGAATCCAAAGGCTAATCCAGATTTAGGTCTTACGAATTACCATCCATTATCCAAACGAGAGCTGAAAACAGTTCTGGTAATTTGCATTCATGAAATGACCCACTCACATTATTAAATGAAAGCTGCATCTCATGGACCCAGAGCGCATCAGACACCCACAAAGACCTCCCTTTATTCTCCTTTGCGGACAATATTCTTTTCAAATGCTACCTCAGCTTCCCCTTAATGTATTTCTGCTTCTCCAACTAACGTGATCAAATTTTCATGATGAGTTTCTCTGCAACTGTTTCCCACCAGCAAGACCCACCCACCCCTATCTTTTTTCTTCCTTTACCACTGTTCTCCCCTCTAATCCATTTGTCCCAGAGGACGTAGATACTCTCAGAGCATGTCTCCTCTATCTGATGCTTTCCTTCAGGTTGCCCCAAGTGATCAACAGGGAACATCTGCACAAAAATACGCCCTATCAGCCACCCTCTGTCCTGTGCAGGTCATGGTGATTTATTCCAATCTTCGCCAGGCTGTGAGAACACAATCATGGAATTCTGGGGAATCAGAAATAAAAGTGTTACGTGTAACCTGTTTCTAATATGCTCGATGTCTTTGGGAAAGTTTAGGCCAGTTCCTTTCAGCACTCTTCTTGCCGTATTTCTCATTTTCGCTAAGCAACGTGCTTGTATTCAGTTAAATGGAGTGCTGAGTGGGATAAACAGTGAGGAGACAATGACCAGCAAGCCAAATGTCTGTGGCTGATCAATTCCTCTTGATGAATTGAATTTTAGAAAGCTATTCAACAGGCACGCCATCAAATTATTCCCCAGTATTAAAAAAATAATGGAAGTGACAGCACAGGCTCTAAGTGCAGGCCAGGTTTTAGAAGACCCTATTCCTATTTCTCAGAACTAAATCTTTGAGAAGGGCAAAGGTTGTTTTTAAATTGGATCTTTAATTTTTAAAAAGGCAGTCAACTTTTAGAAATTGAGCAGAGAAGCTCTTAAGAATATACTGCATTGGGCTTCCCTGGTGGCGCAGTGGCTGGGAATCTGCCTGCCAATGCAGGGGACACGGGTTCGAGCCCTGGTCTGGGAAGATCTCACATGCCACGGAGCAACGAAGCCCGTGAGCTACAACTACTAAGCCTGCACGTCTGGAGCCTGTGCTCTGCCACGGGAGAGGCCACGACAGTGAGAGGCCCGCACACCGCGATGAAGAGTGGCCGCCGCTCGCCGCAACTAGAGAAAGCCCTCGCACAGAAATGAAGACTCAACACAGCCATAAATAAATAAACAAATAAATAAATTTAAAAAATAAAAGAATATACTGCATTGATTTTTTTGTTTTCAGACAATTTGCACCAAAGGCAAACTAGTAGAGGATAAAGTCTCATCCTGTATGTATTGCAAGTACCCTAACTGCAACCTCCCTATTCTGAAGACCATTCAGGCTAAGTCAGGCTTGGGCCCAACATCATATAGGGCAGGGAGGAGACCACCTAGTAGTTAAGTATCTCAGGAGCTCTCAAGGCTCATCCGAAGATTTTTTGGTGAAGTTAATGATGGTATACAGTTCTTGTGGTCAACAGGAGACAAGTTAGAAAGTAATAAATGTTAAATGTTCACTGAGCGGCACTATTGAGAGTCAGTCAAGCCATAGGTTCTATATTGTAGTGAAAGATGTGTGTTGGTCCCTGTGTGAGTGGGATTTGTGATTTCATTTCAGAACCACCTTGTGGTACACGCTGATGTCCTATAATGTTACTGCCTCTCCCAATACCACCACTAAGAGCCACCTCTATTTTTTAAACCCTATGCCAGGCATTATGCTCAATTCTGACTGAATTTTATAATTGATTTTTCACAACAAAATATGAGGTAGACAATATCATCTTCCTTTTACGGATCAGGGAATTCAGACTCTGAAAAGTTAGGAATTTGTCCAAGGTCGCACAGCCCCTCATGGGAAAGACAGGGTTTGAGCCCCATTCTCCCTAGCCCCCAAACACATGTCTTTAACCACTATTCTATAGACACTCAGCATGGTATTTAATAAGGGACACATGGACTTGTTTCTAATGCAATCAAATTTGAACAATATTGTGACTCAAATAATTCTCTATTTTGTTCATATGTAAAGAAAAAAACCTTTCTGGTCCCAGGAATTATTGTTGTACTTTGCATTTCTAAGAGCATATGTTAAAACTAAAGACAATTCCTTGCAGATGTAAGACATAGGCTGATAACACTGGACTGATTTGTGCTTTCAGTTGGATGCTACAGTCACCTCCCCTACCTCCCCCACTCCTTTTACATAAAAGGTTTAGGTTTTCCCGTCTGTCCTACACTCTCTATTCTGCACAGCTTTGCTGCTCCACAGCTTTGCTGCTGACAAGCATTTCTTGGGAGCTGGGTTTGTGGCATAAAATTTTGTGGCATTGTATCACTTTTAACACTTAAACCTTAAGATTAGGGCTTCAGTTTAGAAGACAAGGCAGGCAGCTCTCATTCAGAGAGGTGAGGATGTAATAGGTTTCTGTTCTCCCCTGTGTAACCATTCACACAAGTCTATGTTAGCCAACTTGGATTTCCCATAGATCGTGCATGGGTTACCAAAACATTTCACTCAAAACGAACTTTTAAGAAAATAGGAAACCTGTGAAATTACAAAGTTTACAAAACACTTTAATTCCTACAATGACCTGGGGGTTAAACACACACGCACAGCCCTACACACAGCAACTAAGTTCTAAAGAGCCCTTAAATAATTAGTTAATACTAACAATTTGGAGTGTGCAATTTATCCAGTGATGGTAATCAAATCGCCTACCACTGTAGGCTGCAGTGTGCCCGGGAGGAGATGAGAATCTGTAATTTTGTTTAATATTCTTCTTTCCCTCCTTGCTTTGAAAAGTCCATCCTTTTAAGTCCTGCATCCCAGAAAGAGAGACAGAGAGAGAGAGAGAGAGAGAGAGAAGGGAAGAAAGAAAGAAAGAAAGAAAGAAAGAAAGAAAGAAAGAAAGAAAG